CCTGTCCTGCCCTGCCCTGATAGCAGAGTGGGTTCATCATTGGACTGCTAGCCAAAAGGGCAAAGGTTTGGAATCCATCAGCTCCTCTGCAGGAGAAAGTTGAGGCCTTCTGTTTCTGTAAAGAGTCACAGCCTCATAAACCCTATGGGGTACTCCTACCCTGTCCTGTAGGGGTGCTATAGGTCTGAATCAACTTGTTATAAATGGATATGGGATGACAACTTTGTTCTCCTAGCAAATAAAAAAATTACCTATGTTGCAATTTATAGTTGGTCCCTTTATTCCATGTGTGTAGAAATTAAGGTCGTTTAAAATCTGAATCAAAGCCATCTAACACTTTTGCTAAAACTTAGCTTCTTCAATCTCTCCCCCAGGAGTCATTTTACCCCAATACATCAAAGAGATATTACAACATATGGATTTTTACTTCTGAGATGCAGCTCTCATTGTGATTGAAGCAGCATAAAACAGAGACATGAACAGCACCAGCTGGTTTAGAGAGTTTTGCCTTTGGAGTGAATTAACATTAGTGGTTAATGAGAAATTTGAACCAACTCCAAACTAGCACCTTTTGAAAATCATTTTAAATCCTGCCTCTGACTGTGGGGTGCTCCAGCAGGGGGCCTTTGTGACCTCTATGTACAGAAAACCGAAGTCAGGCAGGTTGGAGTCAGTGACATCATACGTTCAAACTGCCTTGAGAGAGTGTGGTCAAGTTCATACAAGGATTCTGATCAAAACCAGTTACATTCTTACAAGTGGCATCCATGTGCCTGTTTTTCCTCTGAGAAAATATGGAGGTCATATTCACAAGTCTTTACCTGCATGGGCAAGATGCTAACACATCTTCGGAGAAAGACACAGATGAGTGGGGCAGGAAAGATACTAAAGGCAAGTAGCCTCCTGCAAGGCTACCCTTTTCTAATTCTTTTAAAGGTCTAACTCCTAATTCTTCCTACTGGGTATATCCCAAGCTGCTTCTTGAGTCTGGCATATAAAAGAGCTGTTGAAGAGGACTAAATGATTTGTTATTCCTTGGTCCTAAAGACCAGGTTAAAAAAAGAAGAAGAAACCAGTCCTTTGAGCAGCAACTCATTCTCTTTGTTTCCACACTGCCCCTAAAAGAGCTTCTGCATTTCTAGACAGTCTGTTTTCTCCACAGAACAAGAAACTCAACTCATTACCAACTTCCTCATGAAGCACTGAACCACAGGGTGTAACTAAACAAAACTCATGACACATAGATCAAGGGCCTACTTTGAGTGGATGTTGGACTTTATGACTGTGTTCATTCATAATCTTAGTTCTTTGTGTCCCAAGAAACAGGTACACGTTCTTTCCAGTTTATAAATGTTCCCTTGATACCAGTGGCAGAAGGTTCCATTTTGTCTCCGAAAGAGATGTCTGCTAGTAGCAATGATACTTATTGACACAAAGGCCAGGGTGCTAATGGAGCCTCCTTTCTGAATTCTTGTCATTGCCTATATCTTGTTGTTAAGTTCCATTGAGTCGGTTCCACCTCATAGCAGCCCTATATGGGGTTTCTGAGGAACGGCTGGTGAGCTTGAACTGCCAACCTTGCAGTTCAAACCGATCTTGCCGTCTAGTGCATTAAGTATGAGGGCTAGACAATGGCCTTATGGCATGGTTCAATGACTCAAAAGTCATTCACAACCAGAAAGAAAGTGGTAAGGCCAAAGAGAGCACATGAGCCATGATATGGTACAGTGGTTAAGCACTTGTCTGCTAGCGTAAATGGTGGCATTTCAAACCCACCAGCTGCTCCATGAGAGAAAGGTGGGACTTTCTGCTGCCATAAAGATTTACAGTTTGTGAAACATCGAAGGGCAGTGTCTACTTACAGCCTCAGAAACCCTGTGGGGCAAATCTACTGAGTCCTATAAGGTTGCTATATCTGAAACAAATTGGTGGCAGTGGGGCTTTCATTTTAGAAGCATTTGAATAGAGAGACATGACTGGTCATTATGAAGCAAAAGTCTTCGAATTTCAGAGAAAGGAGAAAAGAAAACCTTCTCTTCCCACAAACTTCTCCTTTCCCATCTTAAAGGTAGCTCCTGACATGTAAAGAATGGTCACTAGGCCTATGGCACTGTGTTTGGCCTTTAGGGAGATGGGATGCTCACAGGGGCACGGGAACCTTGTGGAGTCTGGGAGGAAATGAGGAACCTGCAAAGGAGAGAAGTGATCAGCTAGGGAAGCTTTGATTTCTGAATCCAAAGAATGTAACAATGGTAACCATAAAAATGAAAATTGATTTCCAACACCAAAAAGTATATACTCATTTTGACTTGAATCAGTGTCAGCTTATTTGGGCTAGATGGGAAATACTAATAAATTGCCCCACAAGTATAGTCTAAGCTTCTAAAATGGGTTTAAGACCTAAAGCCCTGTTTATTCCACTATATGATTGTGACAGTGTATGTATGCATGACTAGCTGTCAAAGATGTTGTGTAGCAAGTTAAGAATTTAAATGCCAAATCACACCCAGGACTATAGTCCTTAGATACCTATCAAAGCTGAAACTGAACCCACTCCCGGAAATCACCTTTAATCGGCCTATAAAGAGAACAGTAATACCTGTGAAGAATGTTCTACTGAGAACAATCAACCACAGGAGACCAAAAAGGCAGCATCTGTCCCCTCCCCAGCCCCCCTAAAGTTTGGAAAGCAGAAAGGAGCAGGAAAGAAAAATGCTACAAGGAACATAGGATAGGGAGGAAATTGGAACTGATGTCACAAAGCAAAATGAGTACTCATTGTTAAATGGGAAACTAATTTATCACAATAAAATGTTCCAAAATAAAAAAAAATAATAATAATCAAAAATTACAGTCTGAAGCAGTCTTAATCCAAGGTTAACAAGCGGGCTTAACCCAGTAACATTAGAAATAATATCTGTACTTTTAGGTTTCTCAACTTCATGAAATTTTCCAAATTTACTGGAGTTTTGGTAACTCATAGGAAGAGTTCAGGAAAGAAAGAATAGGAAGCAGAAATGTAAACAAGTGATCAACAATAGAAAACATTTTAGGAATCACTTTAAGACTGGAAGAGGATCACAGCCAACATCAAGATTTGTTGTGCCATTTTTGGGTGAAAAACTAAGTTTGCAACTCATTTTAAGATCTTACCTAAAGATAGCATTGTCATTTTAGGACTGTTCCTCTACTTGAAATAGAAATTTAAAATATTCATTTTTGAAATGTTAGGCTTCATGGCCCCTATAAATTCTAGAAAGGTTAGAAATTGTTGTACCCAAAACTGCAACCAGATATATTTTACTCCCCTGTAATAAGCATATGGGCTCAAAATTTATTATTATTTTTTAACCAAACACTAGATAATAGAAAATGAGTATTTCTAAAATATATGCTAAGTGTGAATGTGAAAAATAAAAATGCACTCTTTCCATCCTGTTTTCACTTTGAGAGTCCCAAGCTGTCAAATGCTTTGGTTTTATTTCCCAGTCTCTTCCTGCCTTTTTCTGGAATTTCTGGTGTTTCCTTGTCTTCCTTTCCTTTTACATCCTTTGTCTAATTCAGCACTTTTTTTACTTGCTCCCATTGATCATATTTCATTTTTTATTATGCCCTCCAGTGGCCAGAACTCCATTTGTTCATCAATAAAGGGGAAACGTGCATCCTCAGAAATAATCCATTCACAAGGTCTGCGCTGGCACAGCTGAAGGCCAGGCCAGTGGCTCTCACTCACACTGCCTTCATGTGAACCTTGGGGAGCCATGGCCTGTATCACTAACCCCTCAGATTCTGCCACTGTCCTCCCTCTTGTGGGATGTCTGTAGATATAAAGACTAATTTTCAAACCTACTCTTCATATGTTCAAATGTTATGGAGGAAAGACCTAGTGACTTTTACAAGGTAATGTGGTAATCTGGCAATTCCCCACTATCTATTTTCCCCTACAAAGTGGACGTGAAAGGAGCAACCTGAATTTAAACCCATATGCAGAGTACTAGATTATCCAACATAATCCAAACTCCTCATATCCATAACCAACCCAGTGTTACACAGTTTATTAGTGAAGGAACATAAAGCTCTGCGGAGTTGGCTAAAAGAGAATATAGTCAGGTATTTAGATTCCCTTTTTTAACCAAAATCAACACCATTAATTTTGGTGATATTTCACACATGCACTTTTTTAAAATGTATCATCTCTGTGCCTACTGTCATGTTCTAAGGATGTCCTTGAAGAAAAATGGGTGTCTCACTTTTATAAAACCTGTTTAATTGTAATAATGTTTCACCCTGAATCATGAATATCATCATTTTGAAAGAGTGTGTCTATGCCTAAAATTTAAAAGAGTTCAATTGATGGCTAGAACTCTATCTCCATTGGAGTTTATAATCTGAATACATTTCTAGATCTCTGTAATTAAAGCAACATTTCACATTTGTCTGTGACCAAGGAAAAGGGGAAGCAAAGAGAAGAGTAGCATCTTGCATCATTGTTTGTCTGTTGTACACATTACCCATGCTTTTAAAATATAAGTGAAATTTAATCTTCAAAATGAAAAAATAGACACAGTTTCTAATAGCAAAATATAAGATTGAAACACTTAAAATGTTAATATGAAATAGGGTTTTTTTAACGTTAAAAAAGGAAGCATTTCAGACTTGATTTTTCTGCATAAATCCTTTTGTGTCACTAATATTTACAGCTTTCCAGAGGACCTTTTATAAGAACTGGAGGAGACAGGGAGAAAATCAATCCTGTTTTGAGATATAAAATCAGAACCTAAAAATGCACATTGGGGTGAGAAGTCCGCCACCTCAAATCTTTCTACCAATTCTAGAGTGAGGAAAGTTAGACTTACAACCATGCAATTTGTCGTTATATTTTCCTCTTCCTGGTGTTCAATTCTTTCCAAGAATATCTCCTACTTGTAAAATGATTTTATTATACTTATAAATCATTTCAATTAAGAAAATCACATTTTATATTCTTGTATCAAATGCCCCCCAAAAGCCAGCAAGATATATAGAGACATCAGATTTTAAAACCATAAACCTAATCATATACCCCTGAAACAATACGAACATCAAACAGAGTGATGTTATATCCTTATATTTGTTTGTCATGAGATGAAAGGCCATGAGGCATATGGGATAATTAATTGTTCCTGAGCTTCTAAAGAAATTTTAAAACAAAATGACTAACTGCGTGAAAGAATGAGTTCTTCAAGAGCACCCCTTCTGTTCCATTGATGTCTTTCATTCCATCTATCTCCTGAAAGAATCTCGAGCAGAGAAAAAAAGAGCAACAAAAAAGTCTTCCTTTAAGCCACGGAAAAATGGGATCTGATGGAATCTTCCCGTAACTCCCGGTGTTTTCCAATGTTACTTTCTTCTTGGTGGTTTCGTCTCTCAATGGTTATTCTGTATTTTTTCCTGGGTAAAGAGAAAGTGAATGTAGTAATAAAATCTTACTAGGCTACAACATACTGTGGTTTCTCCTACAAAGAGTGCCCTCAGGGGACATCTGGGTTTGAGTTGATAAATGAGAAGTGACAGAATATGAAACCCTGGTCTCAGATTAAAGTAGTGTGCCCCAAGGCATTATGCCCTTATTCAAGGAGAATAATTGGCATGCTTTCCAAACTAGCACAGAACAAGCCTTCCCCTTCTTCCCTGGGTGCCTTGTGGGTTAAGTCTTGTCTATTTAGCCACAGAAACTCTCCCCAACTCCCAGGATATGCCCTAGATAAAGATCAGATTAAGTGCATTATGGCCAAAGGAACAGGAATACAATTGTTCCCGCAAAGAGTCACATACACCCAGAGTGACATTTTCATGCAAAAATGAAGACATTTTGGTGTAATGACTTATGAATAGCCATAAACTCAACCACCAAAGATTACAAAGGAATGGAATGCCCTTGCCCATGTGAAACAATCAAGATCTTGAGCACAAAGAGATATGACAATTTTGCAAAATTAGGACTTAACGATGGAGGTAACTTCGCGTGCGTGTTCTCCAAATACTGAGCATAGAAGAGCCCAGGATCAAATACTCAGAGCTACCTCATCCTCCTTAGAAGGTGAATCAAGACACTTATTTTGAACTGGAGGAAGCCTGAGAACTGGGAAGTTGATTCCCACGTTGGTCCAAACTCCCCTTCCACTTTTGTAGTTGGTGAGTGATAGGTATTTGACTCCAGGAATTTCTGTGATCCCAGAACAGTAGCAGCTCTCTGTCCCACAGGGAGTGCAATAGAAACCCCTGTTCTTCCTACCAAGTATGCTAACCCACTGACCACCAACCCTGTTGTTGTTGTTGAGTGCCAACCCATAAGGACCCTGTATAGGGTTTCCAAGGAGCTAGTGAGCATGAACTGCTGACCTAGCAGCTTCAAACTGCTTTGCAGTCAGACACATTAACCCACAGCACCATACAAGGACTCCTACCCTAGAAGAATGTTCTTACAGATTGAATCATGTCCCCTCAAAATGTGTTGTAAATCCTAACCTCAATGCCTGCAGTTAGTCTCATTTGTGGATGAGTTGCCTTTGTTATGTTAATGTATCAATTGCTTTAGCGATATAAGAGAGATTGCCAGCATTTTTTGCATATAAGGTGCCCATATAAGTAATGCACACATATATAACATGCAAAAAGTATATAGTAAACTAATAATGTATGAAGAGATTGCAGGATTCACAAAAATCATGGCATGCATTATATACATATGGTAATCAAGCTAGCAGAGCAAAGATCTGGGAGGAGAGATGCAAGCTGAATTACATGGAGACTGCCAAGGAGCAGATGCTCAGAAGAGACATGGACCTTCCTTCCTCCAAAGCCAACAGTGTTGATGCTTCTGGCCTCCTAAACTATGGGAAAATGAATTTCTCTTGGTATAGCCATGCACTTGTAGTATTTCTGTTATGGCAGCACTAGAAACTAAGACAAATGGCTTAGGTTTTCAATTCACCATGATTTTTAGATAGATGTGGACAAGTCACAAGGAGGATTGTGCAAAGGCAAATGACAATGGCAGTAAATAAAGGTCCATTTTAATGTTTATAAGCAGTGCTAACCTGAAAAAGTAGAAGGCCATTAGCAAACCAGCTCCTAATAAGGCCCCCACAACAATGCCGGTCACTGCAGATTCTTCAAGGCCACCTGCTTGATAAAGAAATGTAAATAATCAGAGTTCATTCTGAGAAGTAGTTAGGAATGAATGCCTCAAGTTTCATTCACTGGAACGTGTTCCTAATTTCTCACTTAAGGTAAATTTTTCTTCCTTTGTAAAGACAGCTTTCTTGAGGCTCCTGTACTTTCATTTTTGCCAAGTAGAAAACTCACCTCATTTGAGAATGTACTTAGCAAACATACTGCTCCAAGGAAATGAACACAATGGGAATATAAGCAGAGTCAGGAAGGATTTGAGGAAAATTGGAAATGATAATTTCCAAATATATGCATGCTCATTTTTTTTTAATTGTGGCAAGTATAATGTGATCAAACATTTGCCCTTTCAACATTCTCCACATATACAATTCAGCAACATTACTTGTACATCATGATGAGCAATCCTCACCATGATCTTTCCAGATTATTCCATTCCCTTTAACAGAAACTCAGGGGCCCTAAGCAATGAGTCTTCCTTTCCTCATCCTTCCCTCATACCCTGGTAGCACTTAATATAGGTCTCAATACATTTGCCTATTCTAGATACTTCATAATTGGGAACATATAATATTTATCCTTTTGTGACTAACTTATTTCACCCAGCACTTTTTCAAGGCTTATTCATGTGACAGTATGCATCAGGACTTTACTTCTCTAGATGACTGAGTAATATTTCATTTTAAGTAGCCCTGGTAGCACTGCAGGGTAAGCACCAGACTACAAATCACAGAGCTGGCAGTTCAAACCCACCCGTGGTTCCAAGGGAGAAACATGAGGCTGTCTCCTCCAGTAAAGACTGACAGCTTTGAAAACTCTATACTGGGACACTATGAACCAGAATCAAGTAAGGAATGGAATATGTCATTGTAATATTCCATTGTTTATACATTCATCTGCTGATTTACACTTGCGCTGTTTCCATTTTTTGGCTATTGTAAATAGTGCTGCAGTGAACACTGGTGTGCAATATCTGTTTGAGTTCCTGCTTTCAGTTATTTGGGGATATGTACCTAGTACAGGAATTACTGGATCATATGGTAATTCTATGTTTAATTGTTTTCATTTATCCTCAGAGAAGACAACCAGATGGGCCATGGGATTGACCCAGCGTTTATTTTCACAGATGTGTGGCGACACTTCACAGCGCTGGAAGATTTGGTAAAAAATTCATTTGGTTCTATTTTTAGATGTTCTCTCACCAAAGCCAGAGTTTTATGTCAAAATGTCCTATTTTGTGAAAATGTGAATAACAATTTGAAATAATCAAGTTCAGTAGTGTCCCAGTTCTTATATCAAAATGAGAAATCGCTATAGCCCGTACGTAAAGAGTTTAGCAGTGTTCAGTGCATTCTTTCACTTAATCCTCAAGACAATCCTAAGAGTTGGGTACATTTTACTCATCTTACATACGGGAAAATGAGTCTGAAAGAGGTAAAGGAACTCTCCCATAGTCAGAAAACCATCTGGCAATGAGGGTGGGATTCAAATCCAGGCCAAATAATTCCATAGAGAATGTTCTCAACACATTTCCACATTATTCCCTCCCATGATTATCACATATAAATATCTGAGGGTTTGAAAGAGGCTCCCAAAACATAGTGATCATTCATCTTAGCCTAATTTACTTTGTTCTCCCTTTCAAGCTGATAAAAGGATCTCTCTAAAATAGTGATTCTAATACTTGTCCTATTTTTAACAAATTCCCTATTAGAACATCCCTTTGCTTCTACATTTATGTGCAAGGCTGCTTATAAAGATTATGCTTAATAGCTGTTTGCCAATTTGTAGATTTTCAGGTGGTGTTTAAGGGACATGATCAGGAGGGGGTTTTATTAGGAGGAGCCAGTCTCTTGAGAAGAACATCATGCTTGGTAAATAGTCAGCAAAAAAAAAGAGGAAGCCCCTCAATGAGATGGATTGATACAGTGGCTCCAACAATGGACTCAAACATAGCAATGACTGCAGGCTCTTGTTCTGTTATACAAAAGGTCACTATGGGTCAGAACTAACTGAACAGTCTCTACCAGCAAGGGACGTAATCCGTTTGTTTTTGTGGGCTAGGAAGAGGACTCCAAACTTTGAAATTCAGAGTGAAAGTTGGTATGAGAGATGAATATTTGTTCTCTCACACTATGTTGTTGTTGCTAAGTGCTGTAGAGTCGGTTCTGACCCATAGTGATCCTGCATAGCATTTCCGAGGAGCGGCTACTGAACTTGAACTGCCAACCTTGTGGTTCAAATCGACTTTGCAATCTAGCACATTAACCCATCTGCCACAACAGGACTCCGCCTCACAGTATGCAGTTGATATTTTTATTTTCTCTTAAAGTGCAAAGCTCAAACACTAAAATATTTGTGATGTAAACACAGAAAGCAGGGTTCTACCATTTTGAAAGAGAAGGGGAGAAAGGAAGAAAAAATTGTAAGCCCCTGCTTGTGAATTTTTTCCATGTGTTTTTTTACGCATCGAAAAAGGGAATCTGAACTTTCAGAATATGGTTCCTGGAGAGCTCTTTCCTTTTAAACTTGCATTATATCAATGTATACAGATGATGAAATACAGAGTAAATGAAGCCTCTAAACTTACATGATTTGCAAGGAGAGGTGTTCGTGTGCTCAACAATTCTGGTTTCATCTATTCTCAGCTTTAGAGGTCCCCAAGGATATTTGACATTCGGCCGCATTTCAAAATGACCTTCTTTCCCAAAGTAATCACCAATAACCTATAATACAGGTTTAAAAAAAAAAAAAATTAAACACATACACACACACAAACTAAAAGGCCAAAGTCATCTACTTCCAAATGAGGAAGCTCCCACCCTTGTTCTGTTATTTTCCAAAACATCAGGACCTGGCCTAAATGCCCTACCTCTGCATTCTGTGGATCAGATGGCTCACCCATCATTACTCACCTCTTCCAGACAGGAAACAGGAAGTGCTTCAGAAGAACACAGAGCAGATCTGAGGAGGTGTTTCAGGGGGTCTCCCCTATTGCACACGCTGACTGTAATGGTGTGCTTCTAAAGACTTTGTAGGTCAAGTTCTGTAGTCACTAATGGTGCTACTGAAGTGACATTATTTTGTGAGAAGCATAGCTCCCCTTGGCAAGAAAAGTGGTACCATGGAAACAGAAGGCTGTGGGAACTGGTCTGAGTGAAACCACCTGGAGCATAGCTGTACTGAAGGTTGAGTCCTGCCGCTATTCTCCCAGGGTCTACTCCAGTGTCTGCTGTGGAGCAGAGAGGGAAGCTTTTCCCTACTAAAAGAAAATTCCCGAAATTCTTGCTGTTTTCTTTGCTCGTTGGATTCTGTCCTTTCTTCCCTAGAGTTTCAGTTAGCAGCTGAGCCCTTCATCACTGTACCACCAACGCTCTTTAAGTAAAGCATTAAAGTCAAAGCAAACCAACCCACTGCTCATAGTGACCTTAAGGAGTCCTAATGTGGCGCTGCAAGATAAGCACTGGACTTCTAACCACAGGTCTATGGCTCAAACCCACCAGATGTAACTCTAGGTAGCACTTAATGACAATGGCAACATAGTTGTTAACAAACCACATATAAGGTTTCTGGCACCGTAAATTTTTATAGGAGTAGATAATCTCATCTTTCTCCCATGGAGTGACTGATGGGTTTGAAACACCAGCCTTGTGGTTAGCAGCCCAAGGTCTTATCCACAACACTGCACTGTTGTTGTTGTTGTTAAGTGCCTTTGAGTTGGTTCCGACTCATTAGGACCCTGTATAGGGTTTCTGAGAAGCTGTTGGTGGGTTTGAACTGCTAACGTTGCAGTTAGTACAGTGCTGATCCTACAGCTCCACACCAGGACTCCCAATACCAAATTGTTTTTGTTAGGTGCCATCGAGTCGGTACCAACCCCTAGTGACCTTATACACAGCAGAACGAAACACTGTCTGATCCTGGGCCAACCTCACTATTGTTGCCATGCTTGATTCCATCAATGCTGCCACTTGGCTAATCCATCTTGTTGAGGGTCTTCCCCTTTTCTCTGACCCTCCACCTTACCAAACATGATATCCTTCTCCAGTGACTGGTCCCTCCTGACAATATGTCTCAAGTATGAGAGATGAAGTTTGGCCATCTTGGCCTCCAAGGAGCACTCTGGCTACATTTCTTCCAAAACAGATCTATTGGTTCTTTAGGCAGCCCATGGCACTTTCTATATTCTCCTCCAATTCCATAACTCAAAGGCATCAATTCTTCTACACATTAGAGACTATCTTTTAAGAACGTCCTCTTTTATCCTCTGCACCCTGACTTCCAGGGTTACACACAGTCTTCTTGGAAGTTTTACTCTATTTACACCGCCACTGCCAGGCTGACCTCTTTCAGCTCTTTCATGATTTTGTTCAAGGTTCATCCCTCAGTTTCTGGTGAAAACGACTGTTCTATCAGCAAGCTGTAGTCCCTGTATGGTACAAATGGGTATCACGCTCAGCTGCTAGCCATAAAAGTTGGAAGTTACAGTCTACCTAAATGCAGCACTGAAGAAAGGCCAGGCAAATTTAGTTCCAAAAAACTGCCAACGAAAACTCTAGGGAGCACAGTTCGACTTTGACAGACAATGAGTTGCTGAGTCAGAGTCAACTCGCTATTAGCTTGTTTGTTTTATCTGTTCCCTGGGCCCTAACCTAGAACAATCTTCCTACCCATGTTCTCAGGATTTGTCTTTCATTTGTGAGAATGACCAGTGACATCTCCTCAACTCTTTCTTCTGAAGGAGGTCCCCAACCCACAGGCCATGTCACGGTAAAGAGAATTCCAGATCATCACCAAGACATAATAGTAGTTGGCGTGTACAGAGCATACACCAAGAGTTCGATACACATTCACTCCTAAGTGTTCAACTCAAATCTATGTTGTTGTTGTTGCCGCTGTTGTCGTGTGCTTTCAAGTCAATTCAGACTCATAGCGACCCTGTCTAGTTTCCAAAGCTATAAATCTTTATGGGAGTAAAAAGCCTCGTCTTTCTCCTGTGTTGGGACTATGATGATGATGATTGCAGAGGGAAATTGGAATGTGATGAGACACAGACTGTACAAAGGGGGAAGAACCTCATGAGTGTGAGATCCTTGTGGCCCAGCACCTCCCACAAAAGTCTGTACCCCATCTTTGTGTCCCAGGCACTCTTTTCTCTCATGATATTCTCCTGAAGCTGTGCCATATTTTTGAATTATCAGCACATCTAATTTTTTCCCCACACGCAAATCCACACCAAAAACGATCCCAATTTTAAAGAGGAGAATATAATTTCCCTTCACGTCTTTCACCCAGAGAAGTTTCTCTTTCCTCTTAGAACTGAAGTATGATTCTTGGCCACTTGAAAGGTGGGATTCCCCCACTTAACATACAAGTGGAACTGTTTCCTGAAATCTTCCCTGGTAACTTCAACCCCAAATGAGCTCTCCCTGTGTAAAACCTCCAGTGTTTTCAACTTATTTTTATTTGGAGTCTACTTTGGGACAGCCACTTTAATGCCAGGAAAAATACATTCATTCCTTGGGATCTCAGCAAGCAGGAAGAACAACTGGTGCAGAAGTTTCGGGGCTCACCTCTTGGGTGCCCGCCTCTGTATCTGTCATTGCGATCACAGAGAAATCCCCATAGCGGTCTCCGTTGGCATCTATGGACACCTGCCCAGCAATACCTAGAGGACGATACATAAAGAACTAGAAGTTAGTTACCTCTCTCTGCCAACAAAAACAAGAAAATGAATTGACGGGATTTTTTAAACAAACTTATACCACAGGAAATCTCATCAGACTGAGCATTTTTGTTGGCATTTGGAAGACATTGTAATTTCATCTGTGTCTGCATTCCTAAATTCTTAGCATTTCTCCATTTAAAAAAGAAATAAGTGACCTTCTTTGGGGAATATGATTTTTTTTTTTTTAAATTAAGGCAAATTCTGAAAGCAGCATGCTTATCCTAGAGCTTTGTATTAAATTTTAAAAAATGTAAAGAATGAGAAGTGATAGTGTTTTCATAGACTCATCACGGGTTCACATTATCATAGGACAAATATGATGAAAGAACAAACCAATGCAGGATTCAGGAAATAGCTAAAGTACGGGGTCTTTTAATGCTCAAATAAGGGAAGGGTTTGGTTCCATGGATCATGGTTGCCAGTAGTTAGAGAAGAGCTATTTCTCTTTATCCCTATTGTTTTTGTCATTCATTCTTTATGCAGGTGTTTTCTGGGTCATTTCTAAGTGTGGAATTTGGTGCTGCAGCTAAGGCAAATATGAATCACATACATTCTCTGCTCAAGAGGACAGTTTGGCTAGGGATGTGGCATGTTCAGACTGAAATCCTACTACTCACATTTGAATCCCAGCTTTCATATTTAGGAACTCTGTATCCTGGAGCAAGGTACATGACCCTCTGAGCTTCAGTCTTCATGACTGTAAAATAGGCATAATAGAACCTCCCTATCAAGGTGTCCACTATTCTCCTACAAAAGCCGAGTCATTGAATACCCTGTGGAGTGCAGATCTATTCAGAAACACATGAGATCACCATGAGTCCAAATCAACACAGTGGCAAGTGGTTTTGTTTTGGGTTTTACTAAGATCATGTTGAAAAGATTAAATTAACTAAAACCTGCAAAACACTTTCAACACATGTTTAAGAGATATTAGTTGCTTTTTTTCTATTGTATTATTACTATTGTTCTGCTTGAAATCTGGTCCAGGGCACTTGACCATGCCCACAGCACTAAACTATTACATCCTGTTGGAGACTCAGGGAGGACTCAACAAAAGAATGGGTATTTTATAGGGACTTTGGAGAAAGTCTTTGATTTGGACAGGCAGCTAATCAGGGATTTTGAGTATTGTAAGTATTGGTGAAGAATCAGGCACACTATAAACTCCAAAAGAATGAACAAATCAGTCTTAGAAGAAATACACTCAGCATGTTCCTTAGAAGCGAGGATGACAAGACTTAGACTCACCGACTCCTTTGGACATGTCATCAGGAAAGCACAATCTTTCATAAAAGACATCATGTTTGGTAAAGTAGAGGGTCCAAGAAAACTAGGGAAACCCTTAGTGAGATGGGTTAACACCACAGCCACAACAGGGGACTCAAAGATATCATCCATCACAAAGATGCTGCAGGAATGGGCAGCACTGTGTTCTGTTATATATACGATTGCCATGAGTCGGAGCGAACTCAGCAACAACTATCAACTGTAGACTGAAAGGGGTCAGAGAAAATGGGAGGTTTCTGGGGAGATGAGCCTAGGTGTGTGGGTTGGAAGACTGAGACAGATGCAAGGCTGGAGCACGGTGGAGCACAGCTGGTCCTGAATGTCAAAGAATGTGAACTGACTTCTGCTACCAGTGGGGGTTTAGAACACTTAATCAATAAAAATAAATATGCATCATTGTTATTGCTGTTGTCATTGTTGTTAAGTGTTGTGGAGTCTGTTCTGACGCATAGCCACCCTTTATAGGGTTTCTGAGGAGTAGCTGATTCGTTTGTAGTTCAAACCGACCTTGTGTTCCAATGCTTATCCTACAGTGCCACACCAGGAGTCCATTAACAGATATTAAATATGTCTATATCAGTGGGTTAATGTGCCACACTGCAAAGCCATTTGAACTGCAAGGTCGGTGGTTCAAGATCATCCTCGTAAACCCTATACAGGGTAGCTGTGAGTCGGAACCAACTAAGCGGCCCTTAACAACAATAACAATATCATAGCCTTCAGGCACTAAATGAGAGCACGTGCCCATCAGCCGCACTCTGACTATAGCTATTCGCTCTCTGTCCTTATAAACTGTGGTAAAGCTCAGTGTAACTCTTAATTGGTGTTTCTATTGATTTGGTTCTCTCAGGAAGTACTGACTCCTCTAGTAAAATGGATGTCTGGGAAAAAGGATCCCAAGGGAAAGTTCCATCCTCTAGTGTGGTTTGGAGAGGTCAGGTATTTGGGTTTACTGTCCTTTGGGTTGTGGTTTGAGGGCCCACTGATTTTTCCAGACTTTGCTCTACTTTGCCAGAAACAGAATGGAACTCCCATTGAATTTGATTTTTTTTTGTTGTTTGTTTCTTAATACAGACTGGTTACAAAGAGACACATACCTCAAATGTATGTGTCCTTGACACCCTGCCAAACTTTAAGGTGATAAATATTTTGATCTTTAAAACATATTTTATCTCCAAATGACCATTTGCCATTCTGCCCAGAGATGTCTTTCCTGTTACGTGTCTTGCAGAGTACTTTATAAGGGAAGATAGCCCTAGTAATCCAAGACCTCATTACACCTTTAAGTTATTACAGTTTTCCCAAGAAGTGGGGTGAGAACCCTTGGGGGTGCCTGATTAACAAAGTGAGACCGCGCCTGTGGGTACGTACATGAAGTGAGATAATCAGGCCAAGAGCAGAATTTTCCTGTATAAATTATTCTCAGAACTTAGTAATGAGGGGTGCCACCCTCATTTAGACGGTGGGTTATTGCACTGGACTGCAAGGTCGGTTTGAACTGCAAGGCTGGTGGTTCAAGCTTACCAGACGCTCCTCAGAAACTCTACACAGGGTCACTATGAGTCAGAACTGACTTGATAGCACTTATCAACAACATAGTGGAGTACACTGGTTCTGTAGGATAAGCTATGGGCTGCGAACCACAGGGTTGGCAGTTCATGCCGACTAGCCACTCTACTGGATTTACAGCCTCAAAAACCCTATTCAGTGTCGTTATAAGTTGGAACCAACTCTTAACAACAAATAGTGGAGCTCAAGGTTTGAGCCACAATCTATTTTACTTCATCACCCTGACCTCTCACATAGACAGAGAATGCTCCTTCCTCCCAGACCATTTATTGACAGTCTCGATTGCTGGTCAATGGCAATAAATCCATATTTGTCAAATAACATCCTGAGTATTTTTTCCCTGACAACTGAGTAGTCACTTGCAGGTTACTTGTTATTAATTTGGGGAAAATTGGAGTTTTTCGTTATACAGATGCTTTAGAGTTCCTCTGAGCCCACCCTCAGAAGGGATATTATTTAGCAAATAAATTTGACTTTCCAGACAATTCCATCCCAAAACTGACTTTGGCTTCAATGATCTGTACATTTGAACAAATGAAACTCTAACTGTAGATGGGATTATACAGTTGATTGTTTCAGGACTGTTTTCAGGTAGCCTATATAGACCTGGCCCTAAAGTAGACGTGTCAAGATGACCTCAGGGAAAACTTAGCCCAAGTCCTGCATACTAGCCACCCCTGGCACCTGCCCTGCCCTTAACAGCCTCCCTTGGTGGTGCCCTTCAGCACCCCCAACTCTGGCTCCTGTTTTGTCAGAAGACCAAGAACAAATGACCACACCAGGTAGTGAGTAATAGCTAAGAATGGGCTGTGGCCGACCAAGGTTGTATCCACACAAGCCAATTTCTGAGTATTGTGTACTATTTCTGGGAAATTTGACCCTGTCCTAATATGCCCCTGAATTATGCTCTCTGATCCCAGCTCCACAGTTGAATCAGTCAGAGGTAAAGCAATCTAATCCTTGAAACTTAATTACCCATGTCCTAAATTAAAAGAATCCTGGTGTGGCACTGTTGTTTAATGCTCTGGACAAGGTCAGCCGTTCAAACTCACCAGTCACTCCTCAGAAACCCTATACAGGGTCACTATGGCTCACAAATGACTCGACGGGACTTAAAAACAACAACAACTATAAATATTAAAAGATGTCACCCTGAATTTTAATAAGATATGACACCCACTAAAACCACCAGGGAGAAATGAAATCAATCAATTATCACCCACACAATGCTAGAAAGTTTGAGCCCTTCCTACTGTTCTAATATATGAGGACTGACTAGGACAATGAAATGGCTAGGAGTCAAAATCAGGAGTGGGGGACAGTATTTGTCCAAAATTTAGACTTGCAATACTTATTCCAATCATGCTCAATTTTCAATAGCTAAATTACAAACAGAGACATATCTCAAAAAGTATTTAAAAGCTTAAAGGAAGAACTCATAGGACTCTTGTCAATCATCAATTTGCCAAACGGTGTTATTGCTAGGATGCAGATTTTTGAAACACTGGTACCGCGATTTGTTCTTTATGTCAGTGGTTCTTAAATGATAGAAATGCCATAGCAACCATAACGAACAATCTTCAAGTCAAAGCCATCTAATGGCTTTCCGTCTTACTTACTAAAATCCAGATTCTTCACCAAAGCTTCCAAGACCCACAGGTCCTACATCTTTAACGCTTCCTGCCACAGTAACCCTCACACACTTTACTTTAGCCACACAGGCCTCCTTGCTCTCCCAGGAATGCTCAGTATTCACCCACTAAATACACTCAGGGTCTTTGTATTTGCTGCCCCCTCTTAATGCTCTGGTGTGGTGCTGTAGGATAAGCACAGGACTGCAAAGTCAATTTCATCCTCACTGGCTTTAGTGGTTGGTGTGTACATTGGAACAACAGTGGTATTAACTGGTCTTTCTTCTAAGAGTATGGATAATGTGTACTTCAAGACAGATTGTGATATGTTCTTTTTGATGATTAATGTGACACCATTCCTCTTCAATTTGTCATTTCTGGAGTAAATAAATAAATCATGTGGTTATCTGATTCAAAATGCTCAATACCAATCCATTTCAGCTCAGTAATTCC